GATGTTGTTGTTGATGTTGATGTTGTTGTTGATGTTGATGTTGTTGTTGTAATTGTTATTACTTGAGATGTGTCGGGCATAAATGTTGAATCGCATATACATCGACACGAAGTATCACAGGTCTCAGCTAATAAATCTATTTCATTCGTACAAGATATGGCGTAGAAGAATTATAAATGAAGTAAAAATATACCTGCTGCTCTTGGATAACCATTGACAAGATACCAACTTGTAAAAATTAGATACCATAGTAGAAACTTTTGTTTATCCTATTATTCATAATATTCGTTATTAATAAAAGAATTATAAATCTCTAATTTGCTGCGAAACTTTCAAACTCCATAAGCAGGTATTAAACAAGAACGTTTAAAGTTTGAACAAAAAAAGAGAGTAATAATATTTATTTTTTGATGAGTGAAATGAAGTGATATTTTAAAGCTTGATTTTTCATATGTAAGGTACACATATGAATGAGAAGAAAAAAGTTTATTTAGTAAATCTGTAATTGACCGGTTTGACAGAAATACTTGCTAATAATTATTCTAAAATATATGACGAATTCCTGGACAAGCATATTGTGCTCGGTTTTCAATATCATGATATACTAGTTATATAGTGAATAGATTAGATCTGCTTATATTTTTCTATTTCAAGGGCATAGTTTTCTTTAAAAATTTTCAATTATTTCATTCATCATACAACCATTATGAAAAGAAAAATTTCTTTAATAAATTTTTACAATTTGCCATCACCATAACTATATAAATAAATCTCTCGATTTTCTACCCATCCATATAGGCCTTCCACAGGATTAGAGGTGTTTTTATGATGCGCTCATCATTCGTATTATTGTTGTCGTAAAAAAAGGAATTTGTCAAGTAGATATTTTTGTTTTTTTGATGCGTAAATCAGATATAACGATAGATATAAGTATATACAAAGAAAATTTATTCATACTTAATTCTTGATATACTGATGTTTTACAAATTTCATTTAACGATATATCTGAAAGTTTAATTTACGATGCAAGAAACATCGTTATGTTGCCTTATTCAAGTCTATTTGTTCAAAACTATTATCCGATCTGTCACATCTAAATACTGTTTCAAGGCAGGAATTGATCTTCATAAACGATACTTTAACACTGATTTATCAATTTAAATTAAATATCAATGTCATTTATGAAAGTCAAATTTTGCTGTAAAACAACAACTGTTCAACTGTTATAAATATATATATTTCATTTTATATTCTTTTTTCCTATTCTAATTTCTTCACGATCCTTTAGAATTTGAAATCGGAACATTTATTTGCTAATGAATAAATTCATATCTTACCATTCCGTATAATAATGCAATCACCATAAAAGTTTAAATCGTTGACAAAGATTTCCAATATATATTGATTTTGATTGTTGGTAGAAGATTACAATAGAACTTAATGATCTAAGGAAATGCAAGAGAATTTCGACATTTGTATGTAACAAATTATTATCCGTTCTTGAGTTATTCACTCATGAAGGCGTTTGCTTCAAGTATTATATTTTTAAGCAGACTATTAGATGCAAATGCGAAATATTATGGAATATATACAGAGCTTTTTTTTTCTTCACTCTGTTTTGTTTTTTTTTCAGTTTATCAAAGTCACAGAACAGAAGATATTAGAGCAAATAATCAATGAAAAAAATTTTCAAGTTGATTAACATAATAAAAATATATTCTATACTGAATCATTGGGTATATTCAATTGAAATATCTCCCGAAAAATATACTAAGACATGTATAATAAGATCTGGCACCATAAAAATAAGTCTATAACGGACTATTATGTCAAAAAATTATTTAGTTCATGTTATTCTTTCATACATCAAATAGACTTAAGATATATATATGAGAAGTTATTTTACTTCCTAATTTTCATGAGCCATATTTGTGTTTTGTAGCTTGAGTTACATATTTTGTAAGTGAGACTCATACTATATTTGACGAAACATGATAACTTGTTATTTTAGTTTTCAAATCGTTTGAAAGCGCATAGTTGATTATCAGAATTTTTTTATTAGTGAACCTTTTCTAAAGATGGAAAATGACAAACTGACTGATTCTATCAATCATACAGTAGAGACTGATTTTAAACTCATAAAAAATATATCCATTTGTTTTAGAAATGTAACATATGTCATAATAAAAAATAAACAAAATTCGTTTTTCGTGTATACACCATAAGTAGTTACACTCTATTATGAACTCTGATTGATTACCTTACAAATGAAAGAAAAGTATATTTCATATGATCATATAAATTACCAAATCGTAGAAGAACAGTTTTATGTTAATAAATGGTTGCTCTATCGATATATATTCTATTTAAAAAAATATGTGTCCCCCAAACATGACGAAAATTTTAAAAAATAATTTTGAATAAAATATTTTTATATTTCATAATCTTTATTATTAAATTGTTTATAATAATTATATGCTTGGTTTAATTCAGTGTAATATGAGACGTCTAATGTTAAATTAGTTTCATCTGAGTAAATCTTTTCGAGACAAAATTTTTTCAAGAGGAAAAATACTTATCGAATCCATTCAAATGAATTCAGTTGAATAAGAATAAATGCAAATAGATTTACATAGGTCTGAATATTTTTGACTAACAAAACTTCTTATGAAATGTATATTGTTAATATTATATAGCAGCCAATTTTTTTATACTATTAATAACATACCTGTTAATATAAAATGCATTACTATGAATGTCAATAATATTACTTTCACCACTCTTTGTAATATTTAAAAAATAACGAAACTTGTTTGTGATGCATCGCATTGAAGATGTTTTATTCTATGTCAAAAAATAATTATTAGTTAGAAATATTCTTAAATTCATTGTAAAATAGCTTTTTTTTGAATATGTTTCGATTCTATATCATTTACATCTTTTTCCTTTAACGAAGATCAGTTATTTTAAAGAAGAATAAATTTATTGAGAGTATTTATTAGTTTAATACCAAACTATGATCAGATAATTTCAACAAGTCGCATTGATATATGTATGTAAACTGTATCTTCATTGGAGTGAAGCAACAATTCCTAAACAGAGATTATTGCTTTGAAATGTTTCTGATGACGAAAATTAGTACATATTGGATAAGTCTGTTCTAAATGATTTTTCTAACCTATTGTTGACTCGATTGGAAAGAAAGATATCATACTGATAATCAATACATTCTTTTTCGATACGGGAAAATAATTTTATGTAAAAAAGTATTACGAATTTCTCAAGTTACTAGAAGTGGAATGAACATTGTTGATATTCAACGTAATAGATCTAATTTCAATCGATTCACATTATTCGATGAAGCTATTCTAGGTGAGATTTTTGTTATTCAATACTATTCATATAGATTCAAATGCAGTTTTGCTTCTTGAATTATACTTATAAATTCATATCCAATTATTTCATAATTATACACACGAAATATAATATTTGCAAAAAAACATGGATCCGATTACGAAAATAATACTAGATGTTATTCGTAGTAAATTAAGATCATGACATTCATGTTGATTTTGAAATTCTGACTAAATAAACTAATACTCTTATTTGTCGGATGTAATGCAAACTGATGATTGTGATAAAAGTATGCGACAAATCTTCACGATGTTAATGCTTGATTCGTCACTTTACCTTGTGAATATGACATAAGATTTATTAGCATAGGATCATCAATAATATATTTAGCAAATTTATGGCATCTATTTACAATGAATGGTAGTATTGACATATAAGATGTGTCTATACATATATATATATATGATGTTTTTAATTTGCGTAAATTGTTATGTACGAAATAAGTAGAGAACAAAAAACTAAACAATTAATCTTCTAAATATCTATGTATATTATATATACTTTAAGGTCTTTTTTAGTATGGTGCTCAAACATAAGAAAAAACGATTTGTTATAATTCGAATGCATGTAGTGCATTATATAATCGTTTTCATGGAGGATTTTTTATTTTAGAATTTCGATGTTTATATCTCGAATATGTCACATTTCATAAACCATCAGAACATAAAGAACAAAGAAATATGGATTAAATAATTCCCACCATATCGAAGATATTATTGAAATGAATACTCGAAAAAAAAGGTCAAAAATTTTTGAATAAACTTTTATTATTGATAGTAATCGAAGATTGTAATTTTTACCAGTTTTATATGTTTAAATATTGAATTATGTAACATAAATAAATATTCGCATTATGGACGATTGTCCAGGGTCACAAAATACCCGTGTCAATCTACCTCTCTTCTTTTCTCTTTTATCATGAAATGTTAAATTTATATATGTATTTTCTTTACAAATTGTTAACAACAAAATTGAATGTCAAAAAAAAATATTCGCATTAGAAATAACTAATGTTTTTATTTATCATTATAAAATAATATAGACTATATAACTAATAAATCTTTTCTTTGTATGTAAATTATGTTCTGCCCTTGCAGTTGCCTTATTTTTTTAAGCGAGATTTGATCATGGAAAAATTAGATATTTCTAAACATCATGATATTATATCCATTTTCAATAGCTTGATTGATAAGTGTAATAAATTGTGTGCATAATAGCTTGACTGATTTTCTAATCGAATCTAAAACAAAATTTACTTTTTTATTTTTAATTGTATTATTGATTGAATTTTGATAGGAATTTTAAACTGTATTTTTATGGTATATTTAATCAAATTTTCGGTTTTAAATGAAAATTATTGTGCAAAATTTTGAGTGTTGAAAACACTTGTTATGCAGGATCAGGTAGTGCGATCCTGGGGAGTGAATCAAACACACTAGACAAAGAAATATAGTTCACTTCATATAGAAAAAAATGAATGAACCAAATTCAATGCATGTTTTATAATTAACAGTAAGACTCTGCGATTAGAATCGTAGATGAAGAGCAATATGTGATTGTTAAATATTTAATAATCATACCATAAAAGTAATGATGGATTACAGCTGAAGGAATCCTAATGTCTTAAATTATAAAATATGAACTGAAGTTAATTGGTAGAATACGGATTATGAACTTCAGTTTAGCTGACACCAATTTTCGTTCACTTCATACGATAGATTGGTGCATAAATATACTTAATGAAAATAAACAAATATATGTGAGTTTTTGTTGTATATTAAAAATGACAAACTCGCCTTCATCCTAGGTAATTCAAACTTCCAGTAAAAATTTTTTTTGTGTTTATTTTTGTATCATTTGATAAAACCTGAACTGTTGATCACGAAAAATTAATATCTAACCTTACCAAATACTTTCTTCCTGTCCAAAAATTTGAAATACTAGAAGGATGCTGATTTTTTTTTTGAAAAATAAATCGTATGTCAAAATGTACAAAATTTTGTACTCATTTAATAACGCTAAATATTTTATCTCAGTCAAGTCGTCATGCCACCTGCCAATAAGTTACGCATGGTTTGTTTTTTGTGTTTACTGATACTATAGATATTTTGAAGCGATATTCGACAGTTTTTGAATTCAAATAGGTTCTTTTTTGTTACAACTAAATACATATTCGAAATCAGCACAAAACAACTAAATCAGTTGAAGTATTTTTCAAGCCTATTTGACAATTTTTATTTTCTCGCATTTTGTCAGATATTCTCGAAGAGCTGAAATCAGCGCGAAAAAGAATAATTTAAATCATTTTAAATCACGTTAAATAATTTTTTCTCGGCAGAGAGAAAGAAAGAAAAATCAAACTGCGTAACTTATTGGCAAGTAGCATGACGACTTGACTCAGATAAAATATTTACCGTTACCACTTAAGTACAAAATTTGATCCATTTTGATACAAAATGTATTTTTCGAAAAAAAGTCAGCATCCTTCTAGTATTTCGAATTTTTGGACAGGAAAGAAGTATTTGGCAAGGCCAACGATTAGCTTTTCGTGATTAGCAACTCACGTTCTATCAAATAATATAAGAAAAACAAACCAAAAAAGAGAATGGTTACTGATTTGCATTGTTGATGCTTTACTCCATAAATTAATTTCCATAACAGAGTACAGTAAATATTTTCATTAAAAGATATATATCATTGAGATACTCACTAAGAGGTCATATAAGAAGGGGTCATTAATAATTAACCGATAAAGTGCCTACATTATCTACAAAGGTAAAGTTAACTTGTCCACAAAAATAAATTGATTTGTCCTCAAAATGATAAATTGATTAATTCTAAAAAAGACAAATTGATTTGTGCGCAAAAATAAATTGATTTTCATAAACTGTGTAGGCATATAAGCACTTTATCAGCTAATTACTGTTACCCTATAAAAGGTGTCGTAGAGCAATGGCATAGTTCACTAACATTTGTTTCATACAATTCATTCTATAATATTTGTCAACATACTCATATAAGGATGACCATAACAACGTTAAGTATCCATGAAGGTAAGGATTCAATAAGTTCTAATCATCCTGAAAAGGATGTGGAAGAAGAACCGACAATAGAAGAAATCGCCACACTGGAACAAACTGCAGAACGAATTCCTCTGGCTGCTTGGCTCTTGATTCTTTGTCAATTATTTGAAGGTTTTACTTATTTTGGTACATATACAATACTTCAAAATTATATTCAATTCCCTATGCCGACAGGAGATAGTAAACAAGCGGGAGCATTGGGTGGTGGTCGACAACTAGCTACAGCAGTGACAATGTCATATTCTTGTTTATGCAATTTGTCACCAATTATTTTAGCCATTATTATCGATCAGTTTTGGGGAAAATACAAAACATTATGTATTGCAAGTCTTCTATACATTGTGGGTCTTATTATACTTGTTCTGACTAGTATTCCAATGTCAGTCAACGCAGGAGCAGGACTGCCAGGCCTGTTATGTGCTTTATTCTTTATGGGAATCGCAGCAGGTGGATTCAGGACGACAGTGAGTCCATTTATGGCTGAACAATATACAAGAAAAACGCTAGTAGTCAAAGGTTAGAAAATCAATTCTATTTTCGACAAAAAAATCGAACTCTATTTTTGTTTAGATTACAAGGGAAAAAAGAAAATAATCAATCCACAAATGTAAATATACATTGAAATATGTTTTAAAATAATTATGTATATATTGTAGGACAATTCAATCTATGTTCAGTTGGTGTTATTGGGCAACCAATGCCGGTTCACTGACTGCAAAAATTATAACACCAACAGTCGAAAAATATCATTCATTTTGGCTTGCTTATCTTATTACGCTGATGACCATTCCTGGATGCATCATTATATTACTTATTGGTCGTCGTCGATACATTCGAGTGCCACCTGTTGGTTCAATAATTGTTCGTGCGTTTCGTATAACATGGAGAGCTATAAGAAACCGATGGAAACTAGGTAAACAATCGAATAATGAACATTTTTTAGATTATGCGAAGGAAACAACATTATCTGATAAAAACAAAATCGAGATAATTATATCAAACGAAGTCGAGACAATCGCACAAAACAAAATTGAGACAATTTTACCAGACGAAATCGAAATAACTATGCAAAACGAAGTCGAGATAAGTACACAAAACAAAATTGAGACGATTACACAAAACGAAATCGAAATAACTATACAAAACGAAGTTGAAATAATTACACCAAAGAAAGTTGAGACAACTATTAAAACCGATAATCAATTTATCAACGACCTCAAACAAACCTTTCGAGCATGTCGAGTATTTATCTTTTTTCCAATTTTTTGGATGTGCTATAATCAAGCAGTTGCTAATTTGATATCACAAGCTGCACAAATGAATGTTGGTGAGTAGCAAAATCTGACAGAATGAGAAAAACTAATTTAATTGATATTTCTCTAGGTCCAATACCAAACGATATTCTACAAACTATTAATCCCTTTGTTATCGTTGTGTTCGTGCCTATTTTTGACAAAGTTATCTATCCTATTTTAAGAAAATGCAAGATAATACAAAGTCCAATAGCACGTATGACTTGTGGCTTTATTATTTCCGGTTCAGGAATAGCATGGACTGCTTTTATACAACACTTGATTTATTCAACAGGGCCTAATTTTAATTATGCAACGAAACCATGTTTAACATGTCAAAAATATAACAATATAACTGTTGCCTGGCAAATTCCATCTTATTTTCTATTAGCTATTGGTGAAATTCTTGCAGCAATTACTGGAATAGAATATTCCTATACAAATGCACCCAAGTCAATGAAATCTATTGTTATGTCATTTTTTCTTTGTACAAAAGCATTTGGAAGTATTCTTAATCTATCTCTTGTTCCAGTAACTACAGATCCTCAAGTCTTATGGATGTATACGTCACAAGCTTCGGCTACATTTGTTATTGGAATCATTTTCTACATTGTTCTCCGAAATCATGAAGAAAAAAGAATCCCAGTAGAACAATCGATACGTAAAGAATCAATATTAAGTGTGGCAAGACTTGAGTAAAAAATATGGTAACATCAGATTTTAAAAAAAGAAACTTGCTTGAAATAGTTTTTTATATTTTTAAATATATTTTATATAATAAATACATAGACATTTATTCAAATATTAACCTTATACTGAAATTTTTTTGTTTTTGTGTACTCAAAAAGTGAGTACACTACTGGAATCGGTCTGTCCGGCCGTTTACACGATAACGCACGAAAGGAGAATCAGACTGAGCTGAAACTTCCTGCATACTTTAGTCTCATTGGTATCTCGGTCGAGTTCGAAGATGAGCTCAAACGGTTGTAACATTGCTGAGTTATAAAAAAAATTGTCATTATTGATCAGACCATCCCTGAGGGGGGGAGGTACAAGGATTGTTTTTCAAAAAATATTTTATTCTCAAAATTATTCACACCATATATAAATCGACTCAGTTTTTAGCGCTGATTCCGAATCTGATATTAGTTTTGAACCAAATCGTAGCTTTCTAACAAAATATCGCCCGAAAAAGGTCTCAAAATACGCAAAAACTGTATTCAGACACCAAATTGCCTAGATATGTCTCAGATGACTAGTAGTTTTGGGCTTTTCCAAATACCTGATTTTGTAGCTAGTCAAAAGGACTATTGAAGGTTAAAAATCCGAACTCGATAGCTATTAATAGTGGTGAGCTATTATGAAAATACTGATGTCTGTCTATCATATATCTCTTACAAATTCAATTGAAAATTATTCCTCTTACCTAGTGTTTTTGGAGTAGATAGAATTTGTGAAGAGCCCTGAATAATGCTAGGGGGTAAACATGGTGCGTTTGAGGTTTCCTCAATATAACACTGACTTAAAATGATGAAAACCTCACATATACTGACACTGCCGTTAAAACTGTTTATTGTTGACTAAAAATCAAAAAAACAAGGTCAATGTCTAATTCCGCTTTTTGCAGTACACATAACTCTCGGATAAAATCCGAGGTTACGCATTTATTTATTATTTTATGTTACGTTTGTGTTATTGTCTGTGATCAAAAGTTTTTTCATTACACGTGGAAAGAAAAAAAGGTAGACGAAGACGACGAATAGTATTACATAAAAAACAAACAATAATAGAAATATGAATGTACGTGTTTTTTGATTTATTTTTTTGGTAATAAAACTGAATATATAAAAACAATATCAATTAGTTATTACCGATGAATTATAAGATGAGAAAAGGTAAAGTATTGTCATTCTTTTAATTGATGAAATTTGTTTTTGAGATGATTCATAACTTTGGTATGTTTTGTTGGGAAAAAATTGTCATTTATTTTTCCAACAAAATATATCTTATTAAACTTAAATACGATTTAATATTTCAGATTATAAATCTTGTTTGACAGTTATTTAGCAAAAATTTATTATTTGTTTATCTATACATATTATAATGTCTAATGAACATCTATCACATCGCAATGATCTCATAATTACTGAAAATATATTAAATACTGTGTCATATTCATGTATAGTTCTTCAACTTCAATATAATGATTATGGAAGAAATTTCAATATAAAAAAGGATGCTACATTTATGTTGACAGATACAATTAGTAATGTTATACAAAAGTTTTTAAGAATTGCTAATCTTAACGATGTTCTTCCTGAAAATGTGGTACTTGTTGAATTTGTTTTTGATAATAAACATATGATTCCACCTTCATCATATATACATATGACATTAAATGATCTTAGAATTAAACAAAATTCTATTCTCTATTTTGAACCATCAGCCGCTGTTGCTCTAACGATACTTGGACCCAATCTTATTGATAAAAGAGAATATCAATGGAATATAGAAACAACAACATTAAAAATGCTTTTCGAATTTGTTATTACAGCATTTTCATTACAATCGATTAAACGTGAACAAATTCATCTTATAACTATGTATGATAATGAACTTGATATTATATCAAATTCTGATAAATTATTAGTTGACTTAGGTGTTACTGATGGCACATGGATATCTGTTCAAGTTGTTGAATCACAATTAGGAACATCTATAGTTTATGTTGATTGTGCTTATACAAATGGACGGAAAGTTTTCGAAGTACCATCTACAATTTCAATTGAAAAATTAAAAAATCGAATCGAAAAAGAGTTTAATGATTATCGTCTTCTTGAATTCAATTTGTTTAATCGAATGTATGAAAAAATTGATCAAAATATGCCGAATCAAATGCTTTGTGAATTACATATTAAACCTGGTCAAACTATTTATGCTTTTCTTCGTTTTACATTTTCTGATACTTCACCATCTGTTTTGAACAATAATACAAGTAATACAACAACAACAACAAGAACTTCATCATTAATCAAAAAACCACAAACAGATGAAGTTAATGTTAGAAGAGCAGAAAAAACGCCAGTTCAGCAATCTAATGTCAATAATCGTTTTACTTCATTATATACGGTGGATGAATTATCAAGATCTAATACATTGGATACATATCCTATTGGTCTAGATAATCTAATAAATACATGTTATATGAATAGTGCACTTCAATGTCTTGCTCATACGATACCATTAACTCAGTTATTTTTAAACGGTCTAACTCAAAATATTACAGATGATAATCGATATACAGATCCTGATTGGAATCAATTTTATCAAGTTGGTACAGTAACTGGTGCTTATGCCGATGTTTTGAGAAATTTATTTTTATCTAATAGATCCAATACTTTTAATCGCTCATTTCGACCGATTCGTATGAAGGCAACAATTGGTATTCGAGATTCACGTTTTGCAACTTTGGATCAACAAGATGCCCAAGAGTTTATGAGTTTTCTTCTTGAGGAAATACATAAAGAAATGAAAGAAACAAATGGTAATGAATCGAATAATATTATAGAAGAATTGTTTTTTGGAAAAATACGATCAACTATAACTTGTCTTGCATGTAAACATGAAGTACAAGTAATAAATCCATTTAGTATTTTATCATTACCACTCGTTCAATCAAGACGTCAATTTACGATAAGATTTATTGAATTAAACCGTGATATTGGCGAAGCCATTGTCAATGTACCCAAGGATGGTCAAGTCAAAAGTCTTATACAAGCCTTTAGTGAAGCTTGGCCAAATTATTCGTTTTCTCGTCCCATTATAGTTATGACAGATGATGGACAAGTTGACTTAGAAAAGCCATTAAATCAATTGTCTACTACAGAAGTTGTACTTATTGAACAAGAAGACTGGTCAGATATCGGACAAGTTAACCGATTTGCTAAGAAATCAAGACCATTAACACTTGAAGATTGTCTGCGAGAGTTCTGTTCCATTGAAAATCTAGAAGATTCATATTTATGTGAACAGGAAACATGTAAGAAACGTACACAAGCTACTAAACAACTTCAATTTTATACTCTTCCACCAATAATTATAATTCAATTGAAACGATTTTCACACAAAGATGGTTTACGAGACAAAATACAAACATTCGTTGAATATCCAATGGAAGGACTTGATTTAAGTAATTTTCTATTATCAAGAGAAGAAGCTATTTACGATCTATTCGCTGTTACTAAACATACTGGATCAATCTATGGTGGTCATTACATAGCAGTTGCTAAACATAAAGCAAACGGCAGTAATTTATGGTACAAATTTGATGATTCATGTGTATCATCATTTTGTTCTTCCAATGATATCGTTTCAGACGATGCTTATCTTCTTTTCTATATTAAAAAAACATAAATCGAAGCAATAACAACACCTTCATATATATGATCTTATTTACTAATTGTTGCATTTTCATATAAACGAGATATGGTTGGATTATCTATAGGATATATCTGTCTAAATATTTAATTTTAGGTATGTTTATCATTCTATTAAAGGATTTAACAAATAAATTCAAAATTTCATTTTTTATATTGAATCTATAATGGAAATTCAAAGTTTAAGGTATCCTTTTTTTTTTGTTTCGTTCAAAACGATTTGTTAACAATATCAATACAGATCTCATAATTTGATGATCTATTTTATACTAAATTATGTCGTTTATCGATTAGTCAGTCTAATATGGAAAATAATTATTAAAATAAGGTATTTAGTTTTGAAATATATATTTTCAATCATTCAAATATTCAATACATACATATACAAAAATAATATTAAAATGAACTGTTACATGAAATTACTGTAAATGATGATGATATGTGTGTGATGGTTTGTTTCTCGTAAGTCAACTTTCGAGGATTATATATACAGTAAAACCTCTCATAATGAACACCTCCGGTTTGAACACATTTTTCAGTCCCCCCGATCGATTTTTGCTGTAAATAGACCTCCGCAAGATGAACATCTCCGACCTCTGAACAATGAACGCTTTTTTTAGTCCCTTCTGTAAAAGAAAACCTCTATATAATGAACATATAGTGATTAACTGTACGTTCTTCTATGAAAGACAGAGCTGAAAAAATATGCTGTTCATATTAAGGAAATGATAAATCAGTTTTTGACGGTCAACTCATCATAACAAGCTCTATCGTATGTATGGATCAAACAAAACAATGTAATTAATCAGCGATGAGTTAATCGATTCTATATGACAGTGCAACATGCATTCTATCTTCGATTGTAAAATGAAACAGAACACACACGTTAACTTTGTTTAAAAAAATGCAATTAATTCGTGAAAATGAAAATAACGCTTCATATCGTACAATTGCTGCGAAATACAAAATTTCGGTCGGTAGTATCTCAATTACCGACTTTTCTTAGAAAAAATAAATAGATGTGAATAATAGACAAAAATGCTTTTTTTTACTAGTTTTTGTTTAAAACGAAATAGATCTTTAATATTTTAAAGATAAAAAAATGTTTTTTTTTATTTTTCACTTGATAATTGAATGAATATGTGTAATAATTGAAAAAGATAGTGTTTTAGAATTAATAGTAATACATTTTAATATCAAGATGCATAGCTATTATTTGTCCATACTAATATTATATGGTGTATATCTAAACCTTTATTCAATATGAAATCTCTGTAAGATGAACACCTCCTCTAATGAACACTTTTCAAGCGGTCCCATTAGTATTCATCTTAGGGAGGTTTTACTGTATATATATACCAACCAACTTCTTATTCTGTGAGGCTCCAATATCTAAATGTATTCTAGCAGTATACAATGTTGTTGAGTAATATTACTTAAAGTTGTCATTATTCATTCAATTCCATGTAAGTACTCAAATCTAAACTATCGAAAGGAAATAAAAGATATCAAATCTAGTTACATTGGTATGTTGTTCTTTTCAGCTTACTATTTTATTACCGGATATTTTTTATTTAACAATATACCAACAAAGTTATCAATCAGAATGTGAATCAATCATCTCAACAGTCGTATTCAAAATAGGAGTAGAAAAATTTTAAAAAAAATGTTTTTTTATTGAAAAAGCACATGAAAGCAAACAAGTTCAAACAGAGCTTTCGAGTGACGTTTCAAGTTAAAAATCGCAGGAGTAAATAATAATGAGTGCAGAAAAGTCCTAAATGAAGAACATCATGTTGTGAGTAGTTTAGATATGCATATTCTATTTAAACACAGAAGTAACATTTTATTACGAAACATTCGGTGTTCAAATACTGGTTTGTACGAAATCTCTTTTTCGAAAACTCTATTTATAAAAACATCCATTGTCAAACTTAATAATTTGTTGATAAGTTTCTTTTATTTAATTGTTCAATAATTGATTGTCTGTTTTCTTCTAGAATATCACTAGGTTTAAACGGTTTTTTAACACAATTATGCTTAGATAATTGTTCTTGACATACTTGAATTCCAATAAACTGACATATTAAACCTAATTGTTCAATTGGATTTTCAATCAAATTGGAATAAGTTGTTGTATACACTTTATTACTTGGCAATGATTGGATTGAATTAAATCCAATAGATGCATTATTTAAATACATATTCTTAGCCTTATTAAACGTTCGTTTTTTAGCTTTCTTTGTTCCAATTAAACTGGAAATAAATCTTTCTGTACAAATGAATGATTTGAATGAAGGAGCTCCTATTGTCCACACATAAGGATCGAACTGAATTCCATTTGCATAATGAGACATAGCTAAATATAGTGAATTAATAACTTCTAACGGGTTCCTAAGTATATGAATAAATTTAGCATTTGGATAAAGTTTAAGTATTTCAGCTTCATTCCCATAATCCCATGGATTTTTCAGTAATACAATATTTGATTTAGGCTTTTGTATATAAATTAATTTCCGACATAAATTATCAAACGTTTTATGTGATTTAGAAGTTAAAGTGGGAAAATTTTTGGTAAACGGTAATGATGTTGATAATCCTCCATTTCTTTGTCGACCGATCACAAAGCAATATTCTTCTGATGGATTTAATGCTGAGACTGGAGTAGTATCAATGAATCTATTTCGAATACCTAATAACTGAAAATATTTGTGTAATGCATTTATATATACTGATGTTTGACCATTATCTTCAGCTTCTATCAAATGATTATAATACAGTATAGAATAAGGTGTAACATAGGCTACTGGTAATATTTTGCATAATTGTTCATATAATAGTGTAGTTCCTGAACGATGAATTCCTGTTATAAATATTGGTTGAAATTGAATATTAGATAGGCTTGCTACATCTTCATTATCAGAACAACTGGATTCTGCTAGAAATGGTAACTGATTGAACTGAACTCCAGCAGTAGGTAAATGCTTATTGATAGTCGTTCTAATAAAATAATCCATTCTTTCACATGTTTCACAAGCATAAGCACGTTGTCCTAACAATAATATGATACATAATACAAGTAAAATACTTTTAATTGTATCAATTACTGGATTTGATATTATTGATATAATTAGTAGTAAGAAACTTATATTCTTAAAACTATGAAACGGTAGACAAAATATATAGAAGTTCACGAAGCAATATATTAAACACGAACTATAACCAAATGGATATTTAATTGTCATAAAACACGTTAATAGGTAAATAACTTGAAACAGGTACGAATGATGAGATTTTAATAAATATAGTATTGAAAATAGTAATAATAAACTAATATCTATATTAATCATAGAACAGAAATAAATATGAATATTCTTCAAATCTTGACCGAAAATACCAATGGTATCTTGT